TATCTGGCAACTTTTTTGTCAGATGCATACATTCCGAGAAATTTCCAAATAAAGATTAAAATGGGACACCCGGTATATAATTCAACTATGAATATGATTTTCTTGAGATTAATCCATATTTAGTGAAGAGAAGGAAGAATATCATTCAAAATAATGGCGTGTGTAATGTCATTCGAAAGCAATCTATTAACATTTGACATCTCGTATTTTGATTGACTATTGATTAAATAGTCGTCATCTGGAATGCTTGTTCACTAAATATGAAAAACTCGCCATAAAAATCATATTTCCTGTTAAATTTTCTATATAAAAATGTGCCATCGAAGTACATCATGAGTATATAAAGTGTCCAATGACAAAATAAAAGCAAGTAGCTTCAAATGCCCCCAACACAAGGGGAGAAAGAAGGCGAAATTTCGAACTTTTTCTTGAAATATCTCAATGAATAGTGGTTTGTTCACATTTTCATTATAAAATTCGGTTTATCAGACAAAAATACCGAAAAAAATTTTCAAAAAAAAAACCATCGCATGATAAATGCAGTTTTACCCTTAAAAATTACGGTTTCAAGTGTAACGATCCACTTGGGTGAAAAATCCAACAACAGAAAGTTGAAAACACTCACTGGTTATTTTTTCAGGTAATAGGAATTCTCCAAGATAAATATAGGTGGTTGTAAAAAACGTCATGTCAATCAAAATAAAATAAATTTTCCACAATTTTCTTTCGATCAATCTCACGATAAGTTTATGTTCTGCGGGCCCTGTATAAGTAGGTGTGAAGTTTACCTTCACCACAATTTTTGCCAATATATTTAATTGGAATGGGTTGCTGTAGGTGGATATTCGTGTTTTATCCTGGTTTTTGCTTTAAAACTTCGTTTTTTTATGATAAAATCGAATGGGGTGCGAAGAAGGGCTCAGTTGACGACTGGCATCCTTTTTTAACCGGAAGCCCTTCAAAAAACAGCAAAATCGGCTCAATGATGATCTAAAACTAAAATCGAAATACGCGGTCGCCTTATAGCGAGCGCTATAAGCGCTTGTCGTTTCGAGCCGCTGGTTAAGCCTCACTAAGTGACGTCACCCACGGAGCATGCAGTCCTTGTTGTATCGGTGGTAACGCACAGACTCGTAGTTTACTTCCCTTTCATCCTTTGTTTTTCTAGCTATATTCCAGAAATTTGGAACATCGAATATACTCAGTAGAGGGCACTTTCTCATATTTGAGGAAGTTCATTTCATCTTCTGGTTTTTCTGGAAATGAGATCAAATTCCGATTTTCAGATGGTATACTCTGTATTTCATTCCATAATTGGATAGTAATTATCCTCACGAATTCTACGTTACCGGGTTCGATATAGGGTAATTCCAAACGACGACGAAAACATTTGCGTTCGTGCGTTTTCATTTGCTCACTGGATATCGAAATGTATTCTTCCTCTATCACACTCATTGAGGATATGAAACTTTCGATGGCAAGTACCTATCTTAGTAATCGTTTGAAATAACCCAATCAAACCCGTTACTGTTGATTTCGTTATAATGATCCCCAACCGGTTATGAAATGAAATACGAGGTGTGGTCGTCTTGAAAATCGAAAGTTTCAGGAAAAACACAAGAGATTGAAAAAATCCTGGAATGTGAGAATGTTCCAAATTTCGAAAATATAGCTATAAAGATGAAGGAGGAAAAAAAGGATATAATAATAATAATATAAGTTTATTCAAAAACCTTTACAAAATATACATTGGAATAAACATATAGGTAATTTGAATAAACTGGGAAAAACCTTACGAAGTTAACCTTGTAGTAAGGATAAAAAATAAATAAATGTACATAGGTCAATAAATATTCAACAATATCAAATTATCACAAGGGAAAATTGTCTCATTAAGAAATGAGACAAGTATTCAATTCATAATATATAGTGTACTGAGCATTTCAGTCAATACGCATAATTATTTATATTCATACATACTCATTCACAATTATTATTAAAATTTATCTAATGATATTATTGAATGTTAATTAAAGAAATAAAATCATTTTTAGGGGAGTTTAATATTCAGTTTTTTATTTTTATTGTATAGGATTGTAGTGATTTTGTTTTTATAATATCATTTGGAATTTTATTATACAGGGTGTTGCGAAATTCGACCGACAACGCTTGACAGGTGATAGTCCTCGTGATTTCATAATCACTGAGATAGGGACATACGGTCTCCAAGTATTCAGTTCTCGAGATACAGGGCGTTGAAGTTGAGAAATTAAAATAGTTTTTCCGCAATATCTCAAGAAAAATTGGATATAATGCATTCAAATTCGGTATATGGTTTCATCTTTCGATGGTTCATTGTTTGACCAGACAGAAATTCCGAGAATTTTTTCCAGGTGCGCTACAGGGGGTTTGTGACAACTTTTCCTCTCATATTTTCTACGCCACTGATGAAATTTCGATTATTTCCAATTCCTCGAATTGATTGTTCAATTATGTTGAAAAAATGCTTCACCTTCAACTGAGCTAAAATGAACAGTTATCGAGATATTTGACCCAAAATAGAAGTTTTCATAGTAATTTCCATCTTCCTCAGTAGTAGAAAAAAACAAAAATGTTTGTTTTCTTTTTATGCGTGCAATAACCATTTCTGTTCATCTACAGCAGTGGTTCTTAACCGGTGGTCCGAGGACCACTGGTGGTCCCTGGATGCATCCAAAGGGGTCCGCGAAGCCATCAGAAAAATATTGAATAAGTGACAAGAGGACGGATTACTAATTTGAAATACGACTCGCTTAATTGGTGGATTAAACAACTCTATAAATTGAATCTACAACTGCAAGGGTCAGGAAATCTCAAGTTGCATGACACAAGCAGTATATTTGCATATGAAGATGAAATCGCTGCATTCATCGCTAAAATCTAACTATGGATCATGACAGTCGAAAAAAAAATTGTCTTCGTTTGATAAGCGGAATCAAATTATTGAAGGAGAGTGTGCTGAGATCAAAAGAGGTAAACTTGAAAAGTGAATTCGATCGCTATTTTCCTGACTGCGAGAACAAAGGTAATCGGAAATTGAACCACAATCCGTTAATTGTCAATATTGTTGAGCGCCTGATAGAATTGAAGAAGAAGTGATTGAAATGCAACCCGATAGTAACTTGAAAGATACATTCGAAGCAGGAATTGATTTTGATGATTTTTAGAGCCAAAAAGAATTTTCTCTGGCAAAGATTTGGGAAATATTGCAATTCGATACCTACCTTTGTTTTTGACAAATTTATGCGAGCAGGGGTTTAATTAGGCACTTCTAATCATTGAAACAAGTACCTAAATCGGTTGGATGCTACTGCCGACATGCGTTTAGCTTTGAGTAGTACTGAAACAAGTATTGAGGAGTATCGCAAAAATCGCATCAAGATATATTCTGTCTCTGTAATGTTGAATTTTCACCTGAAAATTCAAATTATGTTGGTTGTGAACAGATGCATGTTCTATTCATAGATAGAACAAGCATCCATTGATTTTCATCCAATGTATTCACCTCCAAACAGTCAGTGGCCCATGGCAATTTTAAAAATTGTCAAATGGTCCCTCAGCACTAAAAGGTTAAGAACCACTGATCTACAGAATGGGATCTGAATAGTATCTAATCTACTCAACACCAGAAAAATATTTTTGCAATTTTCTACGACTGAAAATGATGAAATATCACTATGCAATCTTCTATTTTGGGTCGAATATCTCGAAAACTGTTCATTTCAGCTCAGTTGAAGGTAATTCATTTTTTGAGCAAAATTGAACAATGAATTCGAGGAATTGGAAATAATCGAAATTCAATCAGTGGTGTTGAAAATATGGGAGGAAAAGTTGCCACATCCCCCTGTTGGGCACCACTGGATAAAATGTCCGGAATGGGTTTCTGGACAAAAAATGACCCATTCAAAGATGAAACCATATACCGAATTTGAATGCATTATATTCAATTTTTTTTTTAGATATTGCGAAACAACTATTTTTATTTCATAACTTTAATGCCCTGTATCTCGAGAACTGAACACTCGAAGACCGTATGTCCGTATCTCAGTGATTATAAAATCACGAGGGCCATCACCTGTCAAGCGTTGTCGGTCGAATTTCGCAACACCCTGTATAGGTAAGGAATTAAAAATTAAAAATTTTTACGTCCAAATGACTTTGTTTTATATTTCAATGTTATTTTTATTTCTTATGTCATAGATATGTTTTTTGAACTGAATGTCCTTTTTATTTTTGAAAATATGAATCAGTAAATTGTAAATATAGAGTTGATTTATATCCATTTTTTTAGATTCCTTATATAAAAGTTCAGTTGGAAACAAATATTCTTTTCCATAAATAATTTTTAAAATCCATTTTTGTGCAATTTCCAATTTTTTCAAATATATCTGCTTCACTCCACCCCATCCTAATATCCCATAAACTAATTGAGATTGAACTAAAGCACAGTATATCATTTCTAAATTTCGAATATTTAATAAGTTTTTCAAATGTTTGAATTTAGGAATGAGGCATCTCATTTTCTTAGTGTCAAAAGTCTGTGTCAACCAGTATACACTCTATGTTATCCACTTCTAGCTATAGATCCTACCATAATTTACCTCTTTTTATTGCGTGAAATGTGTTGAATCTACCGAGGAAGCTCACGAACTATACTAGTCAATAAAGATATATAGCCTCCTGTGCTTTAATTTACCGAAATTCACTGTTCTGCTAGGAAATGCACTCGAATCTATAGTAGGTCTTTATCGATAACGACTTTTCATACGCTGTCATGGTAATGGCTAGTAGATTTCAATTAAAATTGAATAAAATGAGTGCTTCCATATTACTATAATGATTGAAATATATTACTAGTAGTGGGGAAAAAATAATATACCCACACCTTGGTAGTGAAGAATAATAATAACCATGGTCCATTGGTCCCTGATGTATAATTAACTATTCATGAATATGGACAGATGTCTGCGATACTTGAGGGAGCTGATCAGGCTGATGGAGCCTGCGTTCTACAAGCATTTGGAGAAGCATGATGACGCGATGGAGTTGCTGTTCTGCCACCGATGGATTTTACTGTACGTAAATATAGCATTGTGATAGCACGTATCTCCCAATTACTGATGGATGTGCGAAAGCTCTGATTCCACCTTCGTAGTTCGATTGATCTAATGATTATAATTATTATACAAAGGGAAAAAGTATTAGATTTCGAATCAAAGTTGTGTTGGCCTCCGACGCATAGCGGAGGGATGCAAAAAACCGAGGTGTAGTTCCTGTTGAAAACTACGAATATCACATCGATAATTTTCTGATTTATTTGATAATAATAATTATATGAGTTCATTCAGAACATAAAGTTTACAAAATGGATCGAGGAAATATAAAGTTATAGTGATCGAATAAACTGATAGGGCCTTACAAAGTAGAACTTGAGATCTATGAGTAAGGTATAAGAATGATGATAATATTACAAGAATAATTGTTACAATAATGACAATAATTACAACAAGAATCAGAACAATAATGATAATGATTTTTACGAAATATAGACCGAAGGCCAACCCATTAAAGATACCTTGTGCATGGGCTTGCATTCAATCTATACAACGTATATGTGACGATGATGAAGTGGTTATTACATAGAGATTAACATGCAAATAGTATTACTTCGTTTTTGAAACGAATATATCTATTTATAAATTCACCGATGTGTTCTCTAGGTATTGATTGAATCCATTTTCTGATCTTGCTTTTGAAAATACTGCTCGAGTTTAATCTTTTGACGTCTTCAGGCGGTAAAGTGAAACATTTTAGGCCGATAGTCTTTTCTGGGCGAGGTACAATCAATTTCTCATTGGTTTTATGCCGGGTATTATATTCGTGATCAAAAGTATTAGGAAACTTCTTATCTTAATGCTGTTTTGTTAGAATAGTCCTAGCATAGAGTTGGCTGACGTCGAATATTACAGTTACGTTATACAACATCTCTGTTGGATATTGTAAGGTAATATTTTCTTGATATTGATTCGTCTATTTTCCTGTCACAGAAAAAAATAGTGTCTTCCTTCAGTACGTGTCGGGTCTACTATAAATATAACTCTTACCGTTGTATAATAAATGAATATTATTATACAAGGAAGAAAAGTATTAGATTTCTGCCCGAGGTTGTGTTGTCTCCCGAAGCGTAGTGTTCCCGTGAACTGAAATTTGAAATTTTTCCGTGTGTAGTTCACATTTTTCTTTGTGATTGGCAGAAATACAAATCAATATTGACAAGATATTATATTATATCGAAATCAGAAGATTATCGTCGTGTAAATTGAAGTTCTCGACTGAAATTACTCCTGCTTCTTTTTGTAGGCATCTTTAATGGGGGTTCGTTGTTCGGAGTCTTTTATTATGCTTTTGAAGTCATCAAATATCTATCTGTCAGTCTAATTCTGTTATTTGATTTCAAAAATTGCGGACTCAGTGGTTGTTTATAATAACCGCGAAGTAAATTGGAAGATGAAAGGACTTGCAGATGTTACTCAGAGACTGATCGGCCTATTATTCGAAACTAGCACAACAAGAGCCATGCATCAACACTGTAGATATAGATCCAGGAAGAAAGTACTCACTTCCTCTCCTTGGGAAAAAAGTAATTCATGTAAAGTGACATTTTTCAACCTATAAACATAGTTGATATGTTAACCTTTTTTCCCGTCAGAGAAAAACAGTTATTTTCTGGAAAGTGATATTTTGTAACCTGTCAACACATCAGATAGAATGTCCAAACTTTCTTCTCGTCACGAAAAAAAAAAATTGTCCACTTGAATAACACCACCGTATGCTCGAGGAAAAATGTATCGTTGATAACACACCTCACCCTTTGACATACTCTGAATGAAATATCCCTGTTGAATATAACTCATAGTGAAAAAAATACTCATATTTCGACCAATTTTGCAAAACAGGTCAGTATCTCAATGAATTTGAAAACAAAACTGAAATGTGAGCCATAATGAGACCGACAAAACTTCGTATAAGGATTCCTTGCCTAATTTTCGAGAGAATTGTCTCTATCAACGTATCGTATGCTCTAAATTGCATTCTCTGTGGAATACCCTCACATTTAAAGATTATGGAGTACAATAATTATACCAGCATCTGGAATAAGTGGTTCACAGAACAATATGCGACACAATAAATAAATCGTGATACTCGTGGTTCCTATCACATTATGAATTATGGAGACAAATATAGATCAAAGCAGTCAAAGAAGTGTTAATAAAACACCTGCCCTGCTAGCTGAGCAACTGCGCATACTAGCCACGAGTGGACATGTGCACTGCGTTGTTTAGGACACGATAAGTGCTGACAGTAATCACTGTTTACCGTAATGGTGTATACTGTATCGAGCTTAGGGTCCCTTGATGTAAATTGACGTATTTGTCATCTAAACAGGGTACGGACAGATCCTCGTCTCCCCTTACTCTAATGTGTTTGTGAAACAGTTATATAGTTCCATCTTCATTCATTTCTGGGGATAAACACTAGATTTTTGACATTTGTTGTTTTTTTGATTATATTGAGGACATTGGCGTATCATACGTAATTTCCACATGTAATTTCTCATTCAACTCTACATATCATATTCGAATATGATGATGATGATTCTCGAGTTTCTGATTTTTCAACTCCAGCATAATCTCTGTGAGGCAGTGAGCAAATTTTTCTGAAAGTTCATTACGTTTTACCAAATGGGACTGTCCTTAGGCAGTACCTGTCAATAAATGAATTTTGATTGCAGACTCTGAGCCTTATGGTCCAGAAATAGTGAAGAATTTTATGTAGGTATTTGAACCATATGTTATGTGTGCTGTATACCGTTTCCACTAAAATGCATTCAAAAACTTGTGGAGTGGATAATTATAGGCACGATGAGAAAATATAATATGTGATTTCGTATTATAGTTTTACCTCGAATATTTTGCTGATGTATTTACCAATTTTCACCATTTGGTCACTTCATTTTCCATGTTCTTGGTTCATTTGCATTTGATGGAAAACTGACAAATTCTAATTTGCCATCCAACTGATTTTGATACAGCCTAACGCAGCACATTTTACCATCCTTCCAAAACAGAATTCAATAATGTCGTATCAAGATCATGTATGGAATTAAAATTTTGTATGTTCTCTTTTGAAAGAAGGAGAGAGGAGAAAGGAGCTATGAGCTGTCCGTACCTTGTTAGATGACAAATAAATCAAGAAAGAAAACTCAAAGTCGTCTCCACAATTTTAATGTCAAAGGAGGCAGTCAATCCTGCTTCAATAAGGTTTGATACATGTTTCGGCGATTCAAATGGCCATCTTCAGTCAAATTAGCAACAAAGTGTATCTACAATAGAAAAACCAAATATGATTTTTTATCAAGAAGAAATTGAAATGGAGAAACAAAAGTTGTAAATGCGAAATTGAATTGCGATTAACAAATTCCAGCAGGATAAAAGAGCAATGGTGATTTTATTAAGTATAACAATAATAATTGATTAGTAATTGATGGTAAAAAGTGAAAAAGTGAAAAAAACAAATTTTTATAAAATCAAAAATTCTGATGACCAAATGGCGAACCAAAGATAAGAAGGTTGTACTCACGTGGAAAAATTTTCAAAACATCGTGAAGGCGAAAAACTTATTCTTAAAACATAGGTAATCATTTGTTTAATGGAAAATGGAGTTCAAGTAGGTGAAAATTTGAGAGGAAGGCAAAAAGCCAATCCCCCAAAGGCAAAGTTAAAATCTTCATCGGTGGCTGAAGAAGCTCTGCTTATCTTGATCATTATAAAAACAATGGAAACCAAAGGTAATGATAAAAAATTAGAACCTGACCTGACCCTATAGTCAAGCCGAGCAACCACTATATTTGAAATCCTGCCAATCTTTTTGCCATACCCTGTAATCTATTTTTTTCAGATGTTTCAAGAGGGAATTCACTGAAGGAGTCGCTCTTCGCATGTGGGAAGCGTGCTGGGCGAATTATCTAACGGACTATTTCCATTTATTTTTGTGCTTGGCGATAATATCAGTATACGCAGATGACGTGATTGCCCAAGACCTCCGATCAGACGAAATGCTCTTACATTTCAGCTCTCTAGGTGAGAAATAAATATCGAATTTTTCATACGTTACAGTAAATAAAAATGTTTACGAAATGGAAAAGTCTGAATTCGAATAAATCTGTAGTTTGAATTGAATCAAAGAATTAACTTGGCTGAACTGATTTGAATTAACAAATACAAATACAAATATATTTATTCGTACCTGCAACAGCAGCCATACAATAAATGGATGTACACGTCATTTTTTTTTTCAGGGATAGTTGAAAACATTATCATAAGAATACATGTAGGTACACAAAAAATAGTAAAAATACATCAAAACACAAAGAATTGTAAAAATAAACACCTACACAAACAATAAAATTTACTTTATTGAGTCGTCAAGGAACTATCACTCACGGCCGAATATGTCTTTCGTAGCATGGTTTTTTTAATTTCTTTCTTGAATGAATTGCGGCTCATGTTTTGTATGTTGATGGAAGTGAAGAACTTTGCACCAACATATCCTGGGCTTTTCTCAAATTTGTTCAGCCTGTGTTCAGACACACTCAATGCGCCGGCATTTCTTGAGGGTAATTATGATAAAACGAATTCTGTTTGAGTTTATGGAAATTTTATTTCACTTATACAGTGTGCCCACTTCTAATGGAATCACCCCTGTATCTTACGTAATCGTTGGGTAAGGATCCTGAAATTTGCTGGAGCGAGAGATATACCAGAAATGCACTCTATGACCAAGTGGGGTCATCTTCAGTGATATACACTGCTCGCCAACAGCCATGAAACTATCCCAATTTCCGGAAAATGATATTAGGAGTCAAAATAGGTCAAAAATCACTTCAGATTTGGAATCAGGACGCCCGATTCACTAACTATTCATAGTTTCCCTAGAACATTTTCAGTTCAGAAAAATTAAATTTTGTCTCACTTCTCATGGAAGCCCCCATATCTCACGTAATTATTGAGGTAGGATTCTGAAATTTGCAGGAGGAAGAGAAAGTTCAAAGATAAAGTCAATTACGTGAGATACGGGGGTGCTTAAATTGAAAATGCAACAAAATTTGATTTTTCCGAACTGAAAATTTTCCAGAAAAAAAAATTGAATAGTTACTAAATTGGGCGTCCTGATTCCAAATCTGAAGTGATTTTTTACCTATTTTGACTCCTTACATCATTTTCCGGAAATTGGGGTAGTTTCATGGCTGTTGGCGAGCAGTGTATATCACTGAAGATGACCCCACTTGGTCATAAAGTGCATTTATGGAATATCTCTCGTTCCAGCAAATTTCAGGATCCTAACCAAACGATTACGTAAGATACAGGGGTGGTTTCATCAGAAGTGGGTCACACTGTATGAGTACTTTATAGATATACACACAAGGTAATGTTCCTCTCTAAATGATGGTGGATTTACAACTATCTCCAAATTTCATATCAAACATGAGTATTAGAATTCGTTTCTGGCTGATAATTATCCTTTCGGAATTGAAGCAGTCTTTTTTTTTTCTTTTTATAAGATGATATTATTTTATGTTATTTATAATTTTTTTCAATTTACCGCCATTTCCAAAATCGCTCTGATTGGTCTCCTATACCACCCTATACATATGTTTGGGCAAAACGGATTCGTGCACGCATCTAGTCTAGAGGAAGTTAACATCGCATGGAAAATAGTATTCAAAGAGGAGACCTATGATACAATTCACATAATAGCGGTTGGAGAACGTTACAGCGCAAGTACAGATATAAATCAGCAATGCGCGGGAAGAACGTTGGAGCGAAATAATAATAATTATCATTGCAAATAATAATCATTATCAAACATCAATAAATGACAACCTTAATTGGCGTGAAATCAAATCTACAGAAAATTTTGGAGAGAAGCCCTCTGTTAATCCACAAAAAAAAACTACTCTGATATAGCGATCGGCCTCAACATAGTCGTTGATGCCTCTACAGTTCTTTTCTCAGGGAGGGGAAAAACCCTCCTGCATAAGAAAGTAGAGTAATTTTATTTGGCAATGTAACCTCACTCAGCCTGAAGGACTCTTCTTCCTAAAAATAATGTTCTTCGGAAAGTGACTTGAGAAAACCAAATTGAAAAAGCTGACTATCGCAGGCATTGAACTCGCGTCGCCGGCATGATATTCGAACACACAATCAACTGCCCCAAGCTCCTACCCAGAAAGCACTGGATATTCCTAGTTTATTCTCTGAATATGCTTGAAAGAAGGAGTATATTCTGATTATCCATCGAATATTCCAAGGATAAATACATGATGCCTTTGGGATACTGAAGGAATATTCCAATGTGAATATCCCAGTAGAATATTCTGAAATAATTTACGAGGAATCTTCAAGCTGGAATATCCAGAAGTGGACATTCTCAGAATATTTTAGTTAGATTGTTCAGGGAATATTCAGGTATGAATTTTCCAGGAATATACTCAACTGAATATTTTGTGTTGTATATTCATGAAATATTTCCACTGATTGTTCTGTAGTGTATATTCATGAATATTCCCAACTGCAGATATTGTATATTCATGAAATATTCCATAAATATCACCATGGTTTCCAACAAATGAATTCTGATCATCTTTTCAGAGATGCTATTATCAATATTGATTATTTTTAGAGATTTTGAAACTAAAAGTGTGTATGATCAAGTTTTCATTTGCATTTTCAGCGAATATTCCACAGATATTCTAGAACTTCCAAGATTTTTTCTAGAATATTCCAATATTCCAAGAGGAATATGATGTAAGGATATTCTTGGAATATCTGGTGCTGTCAGGGTAGTTGAGAATTGTAGTATGACGAAAGAATCAAGTCGCTGTACCCACGCTAGAAAGACAATGATTATTTGTTGCACATTGTCTCTAGACTCTCTAATAGATGTTTCTTCCCTCTGCCTTCCTCTGTACTATCTAATTAGCGGCTGGACTCTGAAACATTTCATTTTCCAGCGATGTACATGGACGGACAGCTGATAGCCAGGAAAGCCAGAGGACTTCTCCACCAGTTCAGACAGATGCGCGAGATACCATGCAGCCTGGCTGGCTTGTGCACCAAATGTGGACCCGGAATTTGGGACAGCTCCCACAATCCCCGGATTTTTTGCGTAGGGCACAAGAATTCTGGGGTCTGCTACAATTGTACAAACTGAAAGAAAAATTATTTGTATTTTTTTTTGGTGAATATTATATCTTTCGAATCATCCAAAAATAGTCATATTCTCAGAATGATATGATGCGGGCCTGTCTGGCTTGTGCACCAAATGTGGCCCCGGAATTCGAAACAGGTCCAACAATCCCCGGATATTTTGCTTGGGGCACGAGAATTCTGGGGTCTGCTACAATTGTACAAACTGAAAGAGAAATTATTTATATTTTTCCCGGCTGAAAATAATATTTTTTGAATCATCCAAAAATAGTAATATTTTCAGAATGATATGTCTGGCTTGTGCACCAAATGTCGTGGCCCCGGAATTTGGGATAGCTTCATCAATCCACGGATATTTTGCGTAGGTCACGAGAATTCTGGGGTCTGCTACAACTGTACAAACTGAAATCATCCAAAAATTGTCATATTCTTAGAATGACATAATAAAGATCCAAAAAAAGTCATATTCTCAGAATGATATGATGCTTCCTTTCTAGCTTGGGCACCAAGTGTGACCCCAGAATTAAGGACAGCTCCATAATCCCCGAATATATATTTTTTTTGCGTATGGCACAAGAATTCTGGGGTCTGTTAAAATTGGACAAACTGAAAGGAAAACTATTTCAATTCTTTTCGGCTGAATATTATATTTTTCGAATCATTCAAAAATATTGTCAGAAAGACATAATGCCTGTCTGACTTGTGCACCAAATGTGGCCCATGAATTTGGAACAACTTTCACAATCCCCTGGTATTTTGCTTGGGGCTCGAGCATTCTGGGGTCTGCTACAATTGTCCAAACTCAAAGAGGAATTATTTGTATTTTTTCTCCTGGATATAATATTCATCGATTCATCTAGGTATATTCAGATTCTCAGAATGCATGAAATGAAGTTTGTGCACCAAATATGGCCCTAAAATTTGGGACAGCTTCCACAATCCCTGTATATTTTGTGTAGGGCACGAGAATTCTGGGGTCTGGTACAATTGTACAAAGTAAAAAAAAATATGTTTTTCAGCTGGATATCATATTTCTTGAATCATCCAAAGATAATCGTATTCTCATAATAACAGGATGCGGCCTGTCTGGCTTGTGCACCAAATGTGGCTCTAGAATCTGGGACAGCTTCCACAATCCCCGAATTTTTGCGTGGGGCACGAGAATTTTGAGGTCTGTTACAACTGTACAAACTGAAAGAGAAATTATTTACATTTTTTCCGGCTGAAAATAATATTTTTTTAATCATTCAAAAATAGTGATATTTTCAGAATGACATGTCTGGCTTGTGCACCAAATGTCGTGGCCCCGGAATTTGGGATAGCTTCATCAATCCCCGGATATTTTGTGTGGGGTACGAGAATTCTGGGGTCTGCTACATTTGTACGAACTGAAAGAAGAATTATTCGTATGTTTTCTGCTGAATATTATATTTTTCGAATCATCCAGGAATGGTCGAATTCTCAGAATGCGATAATGCTTGTGCACCTAATGTGTCCCTACTATTTGGGGCAGCTCCCACAATCTCCGGATATTTTGCGTGGAACACAAGAATTCTAGAATGTGCTACGATGATTGTATAAATTGGGTATCATATTTCTGAATCATCCAAGAAAAGTCGTATCCTCAGAATGGAATCATTATGCTTGTGCACCAAATGTAGCCCCTGAAATTTGGTACAGCTTCCTTATTTCCCGTTAAGTTTGCTCAAGGCACGAAAAGTTTAGGAGTTTGCTACAATTGTACAAATTGAAAAAATACTCTTTGTATTTTTTTTTGCTGGATATTATAGGTACTTCTCGAATTATCGAATGGTGACAGTAAGCAATTAATTCAAGGGTCATGTTCACGAAATGTTCAATGAATTGAACGACAATGGTTGATGACGGCAAAAAACAGCTGAGTAATTTCCTGGTAATTCCACGCAGAAGATTGTATCCTACCTCGGATCATACTCAACAATTAATATTCCAATGTTGCCAGTAACCTTTCTGTTGAATTGCAATAGGATGGCAATTGTTCAATTGCATTTCTAATGTTATTATACCACAGAGTGTGCATCCCAGTTCGGTTCAGACCACAAGATTTCTCGGTTGTTATGGGCACTGTGGCTGAGTTTGTCTATGCGCTGAATTCGCTAGATAGCCGTTCACGATGCGAAGGTACTGTCGGTTCGAATCCGGCTATCGGCTGAGAATTTTTCTTAAAAAATGTGTGATTCCTGATTGTAATCCTGGCAGCACCTCGATGCCCTGAAGTGGTTCGAATTCCACTATAAGCTGTAGGTCCCGCTCTGCCTAACCCCGCACAAGTTTCGACTTCTGGGGAGTTGCGATCCCAGGCAACCAGTTGACGGATGATTACGTCACTGTGACGTCCATAATTGGTGATTTTTCGTCAGAGACGTCACATACAAATCTATGACGTCACTATGACGTACTTTGGGTGATGTGATAATCACGTCATCGTCTCGACGTCGAGTGAACGTCACTTAGATGAGTAAAAGGAGACGTCAGTTTCATGACGTTGCAGGGACGTCCTGTCAACGTCCATTTTTCCCAGACCTTCACTGAACCATGGATCTTTATATATTATCACGTGAAACAGAAGTATAACTCATGAAAGCAAATCAACATGCGAGTTTTATTGGAATTATTAATATACCCGAAAAGTACGAGGAAACTTTTTTCTAGAAAGCTTTGACACACTGTATATCTCGGAAACCAACAAGCTATGTATATATACAAATGATTGTTAAGGTATACCTATATTGAAACCGTTACTCTTATGACGTTGCAGTGACGTATCTATGACGTCTTAAAATCACGTCGGTGTGACGTACCAATTTGGTGAGCTTCGTCATTCAGAAATTTCTTCAATAATTTGCTATTTAAATTTTTGTTGGGTGACAAAGAATGCATCAATATACAAATTCGCTAACATCCTTTCCATTGCTATCAAACTATTCTTTGTTTGCTTACATCTCGCCGACACAAACTACATAGTTTTTGATACAAATAATAACTGATAGCATTCTGATGGAGATGCGTACTGGAGGATACCGCTGCTGAATAGGCGATTGAATGAACATGACAAAAGAGGGACCCACCAAGCAGACTTTACAATGCATAATCAATATTATTTACTGTCATCAGAGGCCAGTGGTGTTCATCACACTAAGTTAAAAGAATCTTTCTTTCATCGCCAAATTCAATCGTCATTTTGACGTCATTACGTCATCAGTCGGGCGTCACAGTTTGGTGAGAGAATGACGTCAATACGACGTGATTGATATGACGTCATTAGGCTGTGACTTATTCACGTAATTTTTTTTTCCTTTTTATCGCTTGGAGCGCACGAAAGGGAATCCTCATAATGTTCAAAGAATATCGTGCGTTTCTGGGATATACAAAAAAAAATTACTTTGCAATCTTCACGTTATTCCTTTTCTACTTTTTTGTGAAATTCGAGGTGGCCTGCTTAACAGATTTTCCATGAGTATTCACGTTTATGAGATTTTGATAATTCATACTTCTTCCATATCCATAAAGTAATAAGAACAAATGTTACGCTGAGAACTAACAGACCGTATTGAACAGAAAGTTCTTCAACATTTCATTCCATTGTGAGCATTTAAGCCACTTTCGGTCATGTTTTCCATTTCGATAATTCATATTGGGTAATGTTTAGCTGAATATGCATACACTGTATCTGCATCGCATATTATTTTTTATTGTCAAATTT